CAACAGAGTTCAGGGGACTTTGGACATACCATATGTTGCTCCACAGCATCCATATTCCACACTAAGCAGGAGATCTGGGATTTCTATATCTATTAACCTCCTTCAGATGCCATTTCAGTCTCATTTTGAAGAATAATTTTTAAAATATATATATATACCTTAAGAATTACTTATTTCTAAAATGCATCTGTGGCAAGAGTAGACACAGATTTAATTCTAATATCAGTCTGCATTGTCATTCATGAAGTGATAAATACTATTTTTATACTCTTTAGGACAAATTTAGTAATGTCTAATCTTTGAAAGAAAATGTATTTGTCTTTGAAGAAGTTATCTCCTATCTCTAGTCTGAAAATAGTTTTTTAAAAATTACAATTAAAAATGTCTTGAATAAAACAAATATCTTTGGGCAGCTGTTTATGAGATATTTAAAGGACAATAGCAGCTTGTGAATTACAGTTTCAGAAACCGCCTTTAGTAACAATGAAATACTGCAGATTACTAGAACAGGATCAATTTAGCAAAACAAACAAACCCCCTTTTCATTGTTGACTTAACACATTTGGCAGCCTTTTTTTCCTCTAAAATCAATCTCTTCCCTGCAAAGGCTCTTGAAAGTATCAGCAGGGGAGCATAAAAAGAAAAAAAAAACATTAAAAAAAAAAAGGTGGTGTCGGGAGAGGGGGAGTGGCGAATTGAAAAATCATCTTTCCAAAAGGCTGGAAACTAACAGATAATGCCCTGTGTTAGTCGAACTCCAAGACCTACATGTAATCTCACTCACTCCACGGCTTCAATGCCAGCTGGACACCGATCTGTCCCCTTCACAGGACTGTCATGTGCTGCTGGAGCTTCCTGAGCCTACGTGTTTGGCCACTCCAGCCCTCTCTGAAGCCCCGGGACCCTACTCAGACCACCCACCACCTACCCTCCCGCGGCTGGCGGCCAGCAGACCCTGCTCCAGCCTGGCCCTGAGCTGACAACCCAGACTGGCAACCCGGGTTCTGCTGGCACTGCAGAACCTGCCATAGTGGGAACACCCATTTGTTCCAAAGGTCGTAGCCACGGGCAAAGGCTCTCTGAACAGGCTCCAGAGGGGCCCAGTGAGGGCAGTTCTACCTGGGGACGAGGGGCAGAGTTCTGCTTCCAGCCTCCCCAGAGCCGGCCTTTGGTCAGGACATTCCAAACCTTTGCTACTCCCAGCCAGTCCCACACAGCCATTGTTGCATTAGAACAGCAGCTGACCCCGCCGCCCGCTCTCGCCGGGACCACCCGCTCTGGTGTCAGTCGGCGCCCGGCCGGCTTTACACCGCCCCCGCACCGCCCCCGCACCGCCCCAGCGTCTTCCCGTCAGAAGTGGGACGAGGAAAGGGCGGTGGCCGCAGCACCGGCAGCGCCGGCGCGACCCGGGACCCCCTGTAACTCGCTGCCTCGCCCGGCGCTGCCAGATCCGCGGAGCAGGAAGAGATGGGGCCAGAGACCAGTGTCGTACCTACTCCTGCTGTGACTCCCGACCACCTCACCCGGAAAGACAGCCCAGCACGTAGAAATTATGAGTCAATAAATAAATTATTAGAAGCCCGGGTAATGATGTGTGCAGGTGCAAGAGGCTGGGGCAGAGGCCAGAAAGGTCGCCCCTCAAAACCAAGTCCTTCCAGTTGGGACCCCCCCTCTCCACAACTACATGTGCAGAGAAAAACTAATATTTGGGGTAAAAAAAATGTTCTTCTGGTGCTACCTGGTTGCCTTTCTCAAAGAAGACCCAAGGAGATGCATGTGAATTTTACCACTTTATAATTCACCCTGGCCTTTTAAACAGGCATTTAATAAACAATGAGATGGCTGTTTTCCAAAATACATGCCAAAGTATAAATACCAGCTGGAGAATAAGTACAGCCTGCGATCAATAGTTTTGTAATTTTACTGATAGTGTAGCATCCCTAAGGTAGGATTTAGATGGAGTTTATAACAGCTTCTGAAAACGTCAAGCTACTTACAAGTAAGATAGGCCTAAGCACACATCAGTAAAGATTCATATTCTTTTTATAGAAATTACTTAATTAATCTGCTAAAATTTGGAGGTTTGAATTTTAATAATATGCTACTTTTGTGCTTTTAAACATCCAAGGTGCCGAGCAAGAATTGTAAACTGTGAAGTAACTACACCATGGGAAAGATTAAGTAAAGCATTGAAGGCGGATGATTTTGACAATAAAGAGGGTGTATGTGGTGAGTGTTTAATATTTTTTACATTAAATATCACCAAGTACTATTTACTATTTTTAGATTTTTGCTCAAAGCAAAACCTAGAGAGCAAAACTCTGCTGTGTAAAATACTTATGGGTACACCTGCGACAAATGCTTTCTGTAATCATTGCATGATGTGTGTGATGATAACACCGTTTTAGTAATGGCATGCCATTTTATTTAAAGTTAATATGTCAGGAAGGCATACCTTGCAGATATATTTTTTTGCAATTAAACAATATTGTAAAGAATTATGTACATGTTATCTCATTGCAGAGGTTTACAAAACAATTAATTTGTGCTCCTGGAATACAACCCTGCTATCTTTGAAATTATCTGAGTTTATATATTTTTGTTCATTATAAAAGCATATGGTTTTGGGAGACTATTATGAAAGAATGAAGAACAAATACAGTACTGTTGAATAATCTTGTGGGGTAGATTAATCTATAGCCTCGATTTCTCTCAGGGTGGGTTGCTGTGGCAACCGCCCCAGCTCACTTTAAAATAATTTCATAAATCTCTCTTCAAGAGCTGCACCCAGCGTGGGCCAAGTTTAAAAGCAGCCAGACATGGGAAGAAGAGTTATACTGTGTTGCTCTTACAAATAGGGAGGTGGTGGAAGGAAGCAAGGTGTAGAGTGGAATGGGTTTTAACAGAACTTTAAACAGAAAATAGAAACCAAGCTAGCCCAGGGTTAAGATGCAAAGGAGGTGGGTAATTACATAGTAACATCACTGCTTTTCAGTTTAAATACCATTAAAGGATGTAAGTTGGCAATCTTGTTTCTCCTACGGGAAAAATATGTTCTGCATCTACAAACGAACAGAAATATACTCCGATAATCATCTTTAAAGGAAATGTTACCTTGAAGTAATCACAGTTGTAGTGGAAAGAGATACTTGGATACATTCTTTAATAAACATTTGGAGATCTGATTTTATAATTATTACATTATTGCTGATGTCATATGATTATTATTATTACATTTTGACATTATGACATTATTACATCATGGTTTAAGACACTGCATTGTCAGCAGATCTATATATGGACTGTGGACAGCAGAAAAGATGTCCACAGAAATTTATTGTGCCAGAAATTTGAAAAGGGTGCATTTATGGAGATTCAGTACGTGTAGAGACATCAGAAAAAAGGTTTTTTTACTATTTGAAATTATTTCAGGTTTTTTAATTAAATCCAGAGAAAGGGAAACAAAACTACCCAAACACTTCAAATTATGCTGCATAAGTTCATGCCTTTTCTAACCATGTAATGAGTCACAAATCTTGATTCCTCCCCTTATATCTGTTTGTCCATCTGGCATCTGAATCCTGTTGTAAAAATCAAGATGTCCTTTACATGGATTTGATTAATTGTGCTTGTGACAAAAACTTGGCATGACTTTAAGGTGCTCCAGTATGTGAAGGTCACAACTATAAAAAGATTAGACCACAGGTGCCCACATGGAGGTGTAGTTGAAGTTCTGAGCTGCTGTGTATTTTTATTTTCTGAAATATTTGCTTGCTGTAATAATTACTTTGAAAATATGACAGTGTTCACATTCTGTCTTGCCAGTTGAAGGGCTGTGTTACCAACTAACCAGACACCAGAAAACTTACACATCCTGCACAAAATAAAGCAGATGCCAGTCATTTTCAGTTAGAGCACAAACGTGTCAAGCCTTAACATAATTTTCTAATTTTTGCCACTAAGAATATACAAATATTACTGGGTAGTTGGGTGCCACACTGAGAGACAAAAATTGTCTGTGGAAGAGGCATAGCAAGGGAACAACCTATGTAACTGTTCTGTATGTCTTTCCTGCTGTGCTTCACAGCAGAACTGAAGCTGAGAAAGTATTTCTTTCCCAATGTTTTTCAGGCTGTGTTCACTGCCATACATATGTGTGTCTTACCACCGTGTACAATGTGCTTCAGTTGTACCTGATTGCTGGTGGCTCTAGCACATCAGTATTGGTGTGGGTACATTTGTAGCATGTCACACTCTCACCTAGACAGACCAGGATATGAATGAGACTCACAGTATTCTCTAAGGATCTGCACTGTGAGCAATTGCAGGGTGCTTGTTAGAACTACCTGAGCTTTGTTTTGGTCTGACTGTGCTTTGAGCATCCATGTTTTAAAGAGTACAGTTGAACTGAAAAGGTATTTATTCACTGTCAAATGCTTTGGAAGTAGGTCAGTAGCCCAATGAGAGGTTTCTAGGGGAAAAGACTGAGAGACCAAGGACTTGTATTAAAAAAACCAAATACATATTTATCTGTGTTTGGTTTTATCACGTGTGATGTTCCTATTTCCAGTACCTTAATCTATCATAAAAATAATACTCTGTGCCTTTACAAACTCCCCTGCTCCTCCCAAATGATCATAAAATTTGGCTATCCGCATAAAATTTTTTAAAGTATGTGCAAGATCCAGTTTTACTGAAGTCACTGCATGTGCTTAATCTGGATTCCAACTCACAGTGCAGTCCTTTCAGTCCAGTTTTAGAAGCGACTGAACCTATTAAAAACAATAAAGCCCTGTCCACGCACACTGTGCTCTCAAAGCTGCATTTCTGCGGGTAAGTCCGACACGAGACCGTCTCCGCCAGCTTGCGTGGCCGGAACCTGCTCGAGAATGCGAGCGGGCCCGGATCTGGCCGCTGCTCATCGCGGGTAAAGCAGCACTGAGCCGGCGCTGCGCCGGTGCAGTTCCCGTGACGCGGGACGCGGAGCCGGATGAGTTGGGAAAGTTCGACTGCTCAGAAGGAGCAGATCTCGGGAGGGGGAGCCCAGCCAAGGGGCTGGGCAGGAGGTCTCCGGGGCGGCGGCAAGTGCCGGAGGACCGCAGCCCTGCTGCGCTCCGGAGGCGACGCAGGGATAGGCGCTCTCTGGATTGCACCGCAGGCCGAGGGCCGGCTGCCCCCTCTCGGTGCCCGCCCCTCCCCGACGGAGGTGAAGCCACTCCGAAGTTGCCGCCTTAGAGGTGCCGGGGATGCAACACGCAGACACGTTCCGAACCCTGGGCTCCGCAGGTCCCCGAGTGCGGTGAGATCGGTTAGTGCCTCACAGCCGGGCCCTGACCGGCCGCAGATGCGCTGCCGCGGGCGATGCGCATCTACCAGGTTCGCAGCCTTCCTGCCTTCCCTCCGCACGCTCTGGTACCTCGCCAGGAGGGGGACAACACGCGCCGGCTCGCCGCCTTGTCTTCACTTTGTATAATAAAGGATGTCATTAGGTTTACGTGTGGCATATGCTATTGCCCCCACCGTAAAACTAAAATTAGCAAAATGTCAGGAATGGAAAGATTGATTCACCCAAGATGCAATTATCATTTAAAAAGTGCTTGATTGAGATGCTGATGCTCAGTGATTTATTCTGCATACCATATACATAATTAAAGTAGTGTAGTGGAGCAATTTATCAATCTAGTTTAGACTACGGGGGCAAGGAGCTGCTGCCGCTGCTGCTGCTGCTCTATGTTTGTTTTATTAAAAAGCTTTCGGGATCCGATCCCGCCCCCTTTTTGCGAGACTGAAACTGATTATTTCTTCAACTCGAGAGAAGAGAGTCATTCGTATGGGATTGTGAGAGAGGTAGAGAAATAGAGACACGGAGAAAGAGAAGAAAAAGGAGGAAGAGAGAGAAGCAGAAAAGGACACCTCATCAGGAGTGTAGTTTCAACCCCTTTCTCGCCTCCCCCTTCCCCTCCGCGATGTTTCAAAGGCTGTGAGCTATTCGTCTTTTCCCATTCGCCTGCTGCCACTTCCTTCCTGGACGATCTCAGGACGAGTCCGGTTACTTTTAATCCGACCAGCAGCTCAGCCACTTTCTCCTCCTCCACGCAGCACACACACACACACACACACACACACACACACTCATACAAACACTCACACACACACACACACGCACACACACACTCACACGCGCGCGCGCGCGCGAGCACACCCCAGGCACCTTCTGGCTGCTTATTGGATTGACTTTGAAGGTTGTGTGTGTGATTCAAGGCGGTTGCATGTTGAACCAGGTGGTGAATATTTAAGACTGGAAGAAGCAGAGGGATTTTTTTCTTTTTCCTATGAAAGGAAAATATCTGAAGGACTAGTCTGATCAGCCAACAGCTAACTGTTTACAATGTAAGTACATGCGAAATTCAGCGTCAGAATAAAATACAGTGGGATGGCACAAAAACACTAGGTACATTTCCTATCGCGTTTGAGGAATGTATCAGTTATTTTATGTGAACTGGAATTGAGGTTGCTTGCAGACTTTCAGTGTGTGATTGTGCAGTTGCTTAAAAGTAGCTTGCTAAACAAGTAAGAGTTATATCTCTAGTAAATTATGGTGAACTTGTCTCTATCAGTGTCATCAGTGTCTAAACTTTGATGAAGTTTACATAATCTATGTGCTTGATATTATGAAGTACTGGAAGCTTATTTGATTTAGATGGATCTTAGTTGATTTAAAAGCTATGACCTTGTAGTGCTTGCACTCTCATTTGTCAGACTAGGGAAACAATCTAGTTTCAGTGAAACGCTCTTAAACTTCATTGTATCACACGCCCTTCAGTCTTGAGTTTTAGCAGTGCATGCTTGCAAGTGTTCAACTCTGTACATCTTTCATCTGAATTACTTACATTTGAGATGGAAACACCCCTTGCATTTATGTGGGAACTTAAGTGATGGTCTGCAAACCGATTTTGGAACAGTATGCTTTGGTCTTTACACAGTACTTTGATTTATCTTTAAATTTTTTAACACAAAGGAGTTAATCAGAATTACAGAACTAGCTGACATAATTGCAGTACAATTACTTACAGGCTAAGATAAAGCTTAATGTAAATGACAGACTTGTAAGGTTATTGTTACATTATGTAATTAGAATACTTATTATTTCCCATAAAACTTAGTGGGACCTTCTGTCAGCCTGAAAAACAAAACAAGTATAAAAAACAAGCTAAATAATTCCGTTTCCATACTACTACTACTACTACTACTATTACTACTAATAACAATAATAAAAAGCAATGCAGCATGGTGCAAAACAAAACTTAATGAATCATTGTGGATATCTAAGATATATGATGTCTTTTTTTTATGTCTGTTATAGAAAAGTTCTATTTTCTTTATTGTGTGTGATGATTATTATTACCAAATAACTACATACTTAAATACTGTAATAGACAATTTAAGACTAAAAGTTTAAGATAATTAAACAGAGAAAAGCACTTTGCTGATGATTAGAAAATAATAGCTTTGACACAAAATTTTCCTTGCACATATCTGACAATCACCTTAATGGCATATGTCCTAGTTTCATATCTTTACTTTAACATAACTATAAGATGAATGATAAACAAACTATTTTTGAAGAAGCTTCTCATTTAGAAGACTAGATTTCTTTCATTGGCACTTTCCTTGCTATTGTGTTTGAAGGGTAAAAATGTTTATATGGAGTGTAATAACTAATCCCTAGATGCTTGGCAAGGCATGGAAATAGTACCACCTCTGATCCAGCACCTCTGTATTGCCCACATGCTAATTTTCACTCCAAATGTTAAGTCATATGGTTTCTCTGGGGATTTGTTATTTTGTGAACTGTGTTTATTACAGGATTTCAAGTACCTTAAGTCCAAAACTCAAAAAACTTTCTTACTTTATTAGTTTTATTAAAATATCCATTATATTATTCTTTCTGTATTAATGAGTATAATTCATAATGAGCCTATGTTGAAATATCTGCCCACACTTCTGAACTTTTGGAAGTGATAGAAAAATTTCTTGAATAACAATTTAAGACAATAGCCCATAATCCCAGGTCTATGTTCCTGGTTGTATGATGTTGTGGTGTGTTTTTTATTTGTGGTCTATTTTTTTATTAGTAGGTTTATTGTTTGATTTGTAGTTACTTTTATTTTAAAAACTTGCTGTTCATATATGTTTATGCTAATATGCTGTACATAGTATGAGAAGGTAGCTCTGGGACCTGAACATGGAAGGGTTCTTTCATGCAAGGAATTCTTACACAACTAGTCCCACCAGCAATGCCAAGACTACTTTTGAGAAAATGAGCAAGTCACAGGGAAAACTATTTACAGGATCAGGACCCAAAGAGACTAAACCTCTTGCCTGTCCTACAGCTTTCATAGGACAGAGATGTAAAGAATGTCACTTTCAATGTCCTATAAAAGAATGCAAGAATCAGATACTGTCTGCATCCTCTTAAAATTATTTGACAAAGAAAAAAGTAAATTTAAGTTTAGGAGCCTTATTAAAATTGGTACTAAATGATGAATAGTGTGGGAGATTAAGTCTTTAGTTATGTGCCTGGGTATCTAGTTTTGGACCATAATAAGAAAATTAATTCAAATAACTTCTTACTGTGAATTTTCTTCCAATATGGGAACCAGATTATTTTTTTTCTTTTTTTAAACATTTCATCTACCTGCAACATGTATATTCAAAATGAGAGATACTTTTCTTAAATGGTTCTTTTTAAAAAAAAATGCCTATAATGTTACAGATAAAGAGAAATGAAGCTTCCTGAAGTTTTTCACAAAAGTTTGCTTAAGAAATATTTTGGTAACTCATTATTCAGTAGATAAAATTGATTATATAGAAACTTAGGAACTGAGCAGGAGTTGTGAATAAAATATTTTTCCAACTTAATTTCTTTTAATTTTACTTTTCTGTATAACAAATTAATTTATTTTTCATCAGGATAGTTTAGTTCATTTTCAGAGACAGCTGAAGTTATTTCTATATTTCATTAAGGAAGAAGTCATTAATTGTTATTAGGTTCTTGAAAGAAAAAAAAAGCTTGATGTTTGATACATTAAGGTCCATTTTTATCTGTTTGATATAATTATTTGAAATTGCTTGATAATTTTTCCAAAAATCAAGTAAGGTGTATTGGTATTTTTTTGAAAACACTGATGATGGAGCTGAATCTACATAAGCTGCTATGTAATTTCCAAGAATTTATAGTCCTTGCTTTAGCATTCTGAATAATAACCAAAACACTTATATTTTTATGCATTTTAAGTTTTTTAATTTTGCTGTTTGATATCAGCAGAGAGATTTTGCTATATCCTCATTTAGGCTCTGTAATGACGTAGGTACAAAATATTTTTTAAATAATATGTTTAATTCTGAAAGCTAGAAAACTTCAAGCTTGAAAAACAGAGTTAGAATTCTGATACTTGAAAAGGATGAAAATACAGTTTTGGATGCTGCTTCAGAAGAACTTTGATCAGCAAACACTGATGGTACAAGTGAAAAACTGAAAAACTAAATTTTTAAATTATTTTTAGAAGTAATTACTTGAGTCCTCTGACCAGCTTTAAGGTCATTTTCTTAGAACTGATGATCAATGATACATGTGGACAGGTGATTACAAGGTAGCATCTTCAGCCCTCCACTTTAATGCCACTGTCTCATTGACTGCAACGAAGTAGATGTTGTCTGTTCACTGAGATCTGTCATCTTCAGGAAATCAGACCAGCTTATAGGGGCGATTCACAAAACCAACAGTGACAACAAAGTCTTATGTGCCTTACAAAAGAAGGATTAGGCAGTTCACATGTCATTTTGATTGGACAGCAATAAAAGCTGATTGCTGTGGCATAGCAAGATACACTTCAATTTTAAGTGGTTATTGTATGAGACAACTAGAACTCTGTCGCTTACTCATTTTAAATGTAAGTCAAATCAAGGAAAAATCAATTTTGACGTTATTGGATTTGTATGATTTATAGTGAAAGTACAGCCACTTGTAGCATTGTTACACAAATTTTATAAAAACTTCTTAATACCACTTTGGGGAAATACAAATAAAATGTGGTATATTATTGTTCTTGGATTTTTTAAAAAAGATATTTGTCTAGATATTTTCCTCTAATCCCAATTTAAAGTTACTAAAAGTGCCTAGGCTCTAAAAATTGTCTAGGACTACGCAAAATTCACTGCACTTAACCATATTAAGAGCTTACAAGCAGAGGAGAGTGCTTAAAATGTGTCAGGGCTTCACAGATTTATCAAAAATTATAACATTGAACAACAAATTAAGAATTTTATTTTATTCTGTTATTTTTTCAAAATATAATGTGCTGTAAAACTATTATTTGTGTTGCATGTGTGTAGTCTGATTTGAAAACAGCCAAGAAATTGTGCTGCCACTGTATTATTAAATATGTCGTTTATCAGTGAGAATAGAGTTTTTTCCTGTTTGCATAATTTAGTTATAATGTACAGCCTTAGCATTTAGAAGTATGAAAGTAGAAACCTGATAACTTGTATGATAATTTCATGCAATATTTCAAAATAATTCTTTCTTTTACCCAACTGATGCCTCCTAGTGTTTCACATAATAAAACACTAATGAACCATAAATGTAAACATTGTTCTTTCATTTTCTTCATCTTATGTGGTACATAAAATTAATATTTATGTTTTTAATTTTGTATGTGTTATTTTAATCAGACAGGAAACTGACATAAATTGAGATGTCTTATTTTAATGGATACTGAAGGTGCATTTCTATTTTCTTTCACTGTAGCTTTGCCTAGCTGTGTTTTGAATGAAAAGTTTTAGTTATACAGAGTAGGTTTTCTTTTTCTCCTTCTGTTTCCTATGTGCATTAAATGAATTTCTCAACAATGTGTTATTAGGCTCAAACAGGAATTTTAAACATTTGCTAGCATGATACTTTGAAAAGTAAGCCCTCAAAATAGGCAATAAATACAGTTATAGAAATGTTTGAAATGTCCTAAGGGACCTCACAGCCAAATAAGATTAAAAACACTGGTCTGCAACATGCTTGCTCACTACAGTCCTCAAAGAATAGTTATCATATTTTGTAGACGCTCCTGATTATTTTACTGTTGTATGATCAAGAAAACTGTATGAAGACAGCTTTCAAATTCACAAAATGTGCATTTTACTCTTTTAGTTGTGTGTATGGATGATCAATACTTCTGAAAAATAGTTTATTTGCATAAAATATTGAGATGGAGTTTGAAGTGGAAAAGACAGTCCTTTTCTTACAAGTGCAGTGTTGTCATATAACTCCTGAATGCCTCAAAAAAACCACATTCAGCTCTATCATACAACAGTAGATTTTTTAATGAAAAGTTATT